GGGGGAGCCAAAATAGGTTTTAAAAAAATTTAAAAGCTCATTTTAGCTGCAATTTTGCATTATAAATATTAAAAAAAAATATGGGAGGCGCCAAATTGAAAGTTTGTCCCAGGGGGGGGGGGGGGGCAAATTGAAAGTTTGTCCCCGGGCGCTGGGAAGGGTCGCTACGCCTCTGGATTCTCGTTACATCACCACTTTCATCACCACTCTTCCTCCAACTCTTCCCCCTCCACACTCTACCCCAGATGTGTTGCATATTTTGGACCATCACCTCAACTTTAAATAAACAAATGTAACTCACCTATCTGGGCAAATAGAAACGTCAAGAAAAATTATTGTAGTTATACGCGCTTTTCTCTTTTACTTACTTGGTCCGTTATAAGTCGTAACCTGAGAGAAATTCCGACCACTTCTAACTGACCGATTTCTTTCAAACCCGATAACAATGCAATGTGAATATCAATTCTGACTAGATTTTAAAATTATTTTTCGTTGCCTTTTTTAATCATGAAAAATTTTGTTGATGCGTATTTTCCAGCAGCCGTTTGGTCAAGCGTCGATATGAGAAACATAAGAGAAGCATTCACAGTTCTCGGTCCTTCGTAACCCCAGCTACTCTGAGTTAAAATATCCTTCAAATCTTGCGTGATTCAGTTACATTGGAAAATAAAAATAATTCTAACACTACAGAATTTTTTAAAAAGCCAATATTACTATTAATATATATATACGAGAAAAATGGCCCGTTGAGGAAGGATACACCGGGCGCTAGGTTGATAGTGCTGTCTCTAAACTAAAACCAACCCACCCCCCACACACACCACCCCCCACCCCCACCCCTATCACCCCCACCCACCCCACACACCACCACCCCACCCCCACCCACCCACCCCCACCCCCACCCCAAAAAAAAACATGTCTACCGTCCCACGAAATATAATTATATACTTTTTTCCAGTGTCCGCCCCCTCCCCGAAAATTCTACCCCCGCCCCCGAAAATTTCAAGTACCCCCACCCCTCTCCGGGGAGGAAAAAGTCTGAAAGAAACACTGGTGTCGCGCTTAGCCACTACCCGAAGAATTGCATTAAAGAAATTGCAAGAAAACCACTTTTTAGATTAGACACATTAATTAGGCGGTAATTTTATTATAGAGTATCGATGAAGAAATTTCTTTTGAGTTGGGGAGGGGGGTGGGCTCAGACGTTCTTACGCGGGGGGTGGGGCTTCGCCCCTACCCGAAGAATTGTATGCAAGAAACTCTTCACGCAAACCATTTAGATTAGACAACATTTCCTTTTTATTCAATGTTTACGCGATAATCAATGACGTCATTATATTACTGTGTGCACTTTCCGCCTTGAGATTATTTTCAACTCTATGCTAAATGTGTCGACGTCATACTTCGTTTTTCGAATTACTATGCAGGTTTTTAATTTCCTTGTGTTTTCTCTATAGCGTTCTTGTCAGATAGAATTTTTGCTTATGTTTTCTCTAGAGCGTTCTTGTCAGACAGATAGATAAATAGATAGATACACAGACAGCGAAACTATTATTATATACGAGAAAAATGGCCCGTTGAGGAAGGATACAACGGGCGCTAGGCTGATAGTGCTGTCTCTTTTCTCTAAACTAAACCCCCCCACCCCCCCCCCCCACACACACCACCCCCCCCCCACCCCCACCCACCCCCCAAAAAAAACATGTCTACCGTCCCATTCAACGAAATATAATTATATACTTTTTCCAGTGCCCGCCCCCTCCCCGAAAATTCTACCCCCGCCACCGAAAATTTCAAGTACCTCCACACCTCTCCGGGGAAGAAAAAGTCTAAACTAAAACCACCCCACCCCCCACACACACCACCCACACACCACCCCCCACACACACACACCACCCCCCCACACACACACACCACCCCCCACCCACCCCCCCCCCCCCAAAAAAAAACATGTCTACAGTCCCATTCAACGAAATATAATTATATACTTTTTCCAGTGTCCGCCCCCTCCCCGAAAATTCTACCCCCGCCACCGAAAATTTCAAGTACCCACACCCCTCTCCGGGGAGGAAAAAGTCTAAATTAAAACCAGACGTTCTTACGCGGGGGTGGGGCTTCGCCCCTACCCGAAGAATTGTATGAAAGAAACTCTTCACGCAAACCACTTAGATTAGACCAAATTGCCTTTGTATTGAATGTTTACTCGATAATCAATGACGTCATATTAATGTGTGCACTATCCGGCTTGAGATTATTTTCTACTCTGTGCTAAATGTGTCGACGTCATACTTCGTTTTTCGAATTACTGTGCATGTTTTTATTTTCCTTGTGTTTTCTCTAGAGCGTTCTTGTCAGATAGATAGATAGATAGATAGATAGACAGACAGCGAAACTATTATATACGAGAAAAATGGCCCGTTGAGGAAGGGTACAACGGGCGCTAGGCTGATAGTGCTGTCTCTTTTCTCTAAACTAAAACCAACCCACCCCCCCACACACCACCCCCCCCACCCCCACACACCACCCCCACCCCCACCCCCCACCACACACCACCCCCACTCCCACCCCTCACCCCCACACACCACCCCCTCCACACACCGCCCCCCACCCCCCACCCCCCCCCCCCAAAAAACATGTCTACCGTCCCATTCAACGAAATATAATTATATACTTTTTCCAGTGTCCGCCCCCTCCCAGAAAATTCTACCCCCGCCCCCGAAAATTTCAAGCACCCCACCCCTCTCCGGGGAGGAAAAAGTCTGAAAGAAACACAGAAACCAACCCACCCCCCACACACCACCCCCCACCCCCCCACACACACCCCCCACCCCCCACCCCCCACACACACACACCCCCCCCACACACCACCCCCCCACCCCTCCACCACCCCCCACCCCCAAAAAAAACATGTCTACCGTCCCATTCAACGAAATATAATTATATACTTTTTCCAGTGTCCGCCCCCTCCCAGAAAATTCTACCCCCGCCCCCGAAAATTTCAAGTACCCCCACCCTCTCCGGGGAGGAAAAAGTCTGAAAGAAACACTGAAACCAACCCACCCCCCACACACCACCCCCCCCACCCCCACCCCTCCACCCCCCCCCCCCCCCCCCCCAAAAAAACATGTCTACCGTCCCATTGCAAGAAAACCACTTTTTAGATTAGACACATTAATCAGGCGGTAATTGTATTATAGAGTATCGATGAGGAAATTTCTTTTGAGTTGGGGAGGGGGGGGGGGGCTCAGACGTTCTTACGCGGGGAGTGGGGCTTCGCCCCTACCCGAAGAATGGTATGCAAGAAACTCTTCACGCAAACCATTTAGATTAGACAACATTTCCTTTTTTTCAATGTTTACGCGATAATCAATGACGTCATTACATTACTGTGTGCACTCTCTGGTTTGAGATTATGTTCTACTCTACGCTAAATTTGTCGACGTCATATTTCGTTTTTCGAATTACTGTGCATGTTTTTAAATTGCTTGTGTTTTCTCTAGAGCGTTCTTGTCAGACAGAGCGTTCTTGTCAGACAGAGCGTTCTTGTCAGACAGACAGCGAAACTATTATTATAGAGACAGAGCGTTCTTGTCAGACAGAGGGTTCTTGTCAGACAGACAGCGAAACTATTATTATAGATACGAGAAAAATGGCCCGTTGAGGAAGGATACACCGGGCGCTAGGTTGATAGTGCTGTCTCTTTTCTCTAAACTAAAACCAACCCCCCCCCCCCCCAACACCCTCCCCCACCCCCCCAAAAAAATCATGTCTACAGTCCCATTCAACGAAATATAATTATATACTTTTTCCAGTGTCCGCCCCCCCCTTCCCGAAAATTCTACCCCCGCCCCCGAAAATTTCAATTACCCCCACCCCTCTCCGGGGAGGAAAAAGTCTGAAAGAAACACTGGTGTCGCGCTTAGCCACTACCCGAAGAATTGCATTAAAGAAATTGCAAGAAAACCACTTTTTAGATTAGACACATTAATTAGGCGGTAATTTTATTATAGAGTATCGATGAAGAAATTTCTTTTGAGTTGGGGGGGGGGGGGGGGCTCAGACGTTGTTACGCGTGGGGTGGGGCTTCGCCCCTACCCGAAGAATTGTATGCAAGAAACTCTTCACGCAAACCATTTAGATTAGACAACATTTCCTTTTTATTCAATGTTTACGCGATAATCAATGACGTCATTATATTACTGTGTGCACTCTCTGGTTTGAGATTATGTTCTACTCTATGCTAAATGTGACCGCGTCATACTTCGTCTTTCGTTTCACTGTGAGAGTTTTTAATTTCCTTGTGTTTTCTCTAGAGCGTTCTTGTCAGACAGATAGATAGATAGATAGATAGATAGATAGATAGATAGATAGATAGATAGATAGATAGATAGATAGATAGATAGATAGATAGATAGATAGATAGATAGATAGATAGATAGATAGATAGATAGATAGATAGATAGATAGATAGATAGATAGATAGATAGATAGATAGATAGATAGATAGATAGATAGATAGATAGATAGATAGATAGATAGATAGATAGATAGATAGATAGATAGATAGATAGATAGATAGATAGATAGATAGATAGAGAGACAGCGAAACTATTATATAGAATATATATATATATATATATATATATATATATATATATATATATATATATATATTGGGGGGGGGGGGCGAAGAAAGTCTACTGCCCCCCCCCCCCTCCAAAAAGATAAAATGTATATAGAAAACATACACTTTTACGAGTGTCCGCCCCCGCCCCGGAAAATGTAGTCCGCCCCCCCCCCCCCCCCAAAAAAAATATCAAGCTTAAAATCTAATCTGCGATTATTAGGCCTATATTATTTTAAATTTATAAAGTGAAACAAACATAATTACGTTTCAATTTAATTCTTTTCATTGGAGGTTTATCTTTTTAAAACCAAGATTGATAATGCTACAGTACAGACTAATGGATGAAAATAGGCAACAATAATCGATCTCCATACAAAGACTACCGAGTAGCAGTTCACCTTACGAGATGTGATTCATCTCTTGGTTCGTGAGTTAGTCAAAGATAAAACAATAGGAATGTCTTTAATTGTTTCGCTTAAAAGTTAAAATGTTATTAAGAATTGAGAGATTTTCTAGACCACTTCTCAGTCTAGCTAGATTTTAAAAATTTTTATTGCTAGACTAGAGACTAGAGACTAGAGAGTAGAGTAGTGGGTAGGTACTAGCCAGTGCTAGGTAGGTAGAGTTAGAATTAAATGTAGCTAGTTGAATCTAGATCTAGAATCTAGTAGTTAGTAGCTTGGAATAGGTAGGCTGCTGCTACAGTAGCTGAGTCTCAGTATTGGAAAGGTAGGTAATCTCACAATTTAGCGACAGAAATTATCTGGTAACATTTGTTGAGTTTATTCCGTAACATTAGTAACTCCATAGTTTATTTGACCGTTGAAATAAAAATAAAGTCAAGTGCATTAAATTAATCTGTTAACTTAATTTAAAGTTTATAATATAAGACGATTAGAGTTACTAAAGTTAAAAGTTGTAAGAAGAATTAGAACAAATGTTTTGTAGCAACAATAATTAGCACATAGGGTAAAGGAGGGCGTTAAGAGCCACACTTTTTAGCACCTGTACATTTTAAAAGATTTTTACTAATCTAAGAATTTTTTAGTATTAAAAATATGGCAAAGTTATTCTAACATATCTTACACAATATAAAAATAATAACACAGTGTATTAAATATACTTTAAATGGGTTTAATTGAACATTTATTGTCATACCCCCAAAATCAGCATTTGGGGTGAAAGGAGCCGGGCAATGGGGCAATAAGTATTGTCTCCTAGTTTAGACTAACTCCGCAATAAAAATAATTAATTTCTAACCCCAAAATAGTTAATGTTGTGTACACACACTTTAACTGATACTAGCTATCACTAGGCCCCAATGGGCCCAGTCTACAATTGATACAATTGCAGGTGTACATAGGGCCTAAGCCCTAAAGTCTAGTAGTTTACAGTAGGCACATTAGTATGCCTAGTGTGTAGCTAGTATACTAGTGTGTAGCTGTCCAGAGTTAACATTCTTGTATGTAAAAAGGGGTGGTACTAACTAATCTGCCTTAATGCTTTCCACTGATAAGCCATGTGTGCTATACATTACATAACATGACATGGAGGTGAGAAATGTTGAGGGGAGAGCAGTTGTACTGGTTTCCCCTTTGTTCTCCTTGCTGGACCCTGAGGGCCATAAATTACATAAGGAGATGCTATCTCTGGTTGGCTGAGATCTAAGAACTAAGTCCATGCTACCTACAAAGAGATAAGTTTTATGGTGGGTTAGATACAGGTGGGGGCTGGGTATCATGGGGGTGAGAAATTGTGAGGGGAGGGCAGTGGTACTGGTTTCCCCTTTTTTCTCCTTGCTGGACCCTGAGGGCCATAAATTACATAAGGAGATGCTATCTCTGGTTGGCTGAGATCTAAGAACTTAGTCCATGTTACCTACAAAGAGATGAAGTTTTATGGTGGGTTAGATACAGGTGGGGTCTGGCTATCATGGAGGTGAGAAATTGTGAGGGGAGAGCAGTGGTACTGATTCCTCTTTGGTCTCCACCCTGCTAGACCATGAAGGTCATATATTACCTAACATGCCACCCCAGATTGTCTGAGATCTGTAACTGTAATCCATGTTACCTACAAAGAGATGAAGTTTTATAGTGGGCCAGAAACTGGTGGGGGCTGGGTATCATGGGGGTAAGAAATTGTAAGGGGGGGGGGAGCAGTGGTATTAATGTGTCTGTTTACTTCCCTGCTGGACCATGAGGGTCATAAATTACATAACATACCACCCCAGATTGGCTGAGACCTAAGAACATTTATTCCTGTTACCTACAAAGAGATTAGAAGTTTTATGGTTGGTTAGAAACAGGTGGGGGCTGAGTCGGCTGTATTGCCCCTTAGGGGTAATAAGTACGTGTACCATTTTAAAAATTACCTTGCTAACATCAGATGACTGAAATTTTACTTTTTAGCAGGTTAGAATTGTATTTCTATCATTTAGACACAAGTCTGTTTAACAATTAATACATTTTGTGTTAACTATTCCTATACCAGTGTCATATTCAGTGGTCTAATAAATGAGAAACTTGCACTTAGGGTTTCAAGAGCCACATAACAGTATCTGTTATAACTTTTCTAAACAGGCAAGCTAGTGGACAAAATTAATGTATTCATGTAGATTTAGTTATTATCTAACAAATAAAACCATTATGGTAATGATCAGTCAAGTTTTACTCTGATAATGATAAAAACTTTATAGCATGGTAAAATGGGACAAATGTCGGCCATTTTGTTTTGGCACCAATAATCACTGTGCGAAAAAAATTCACCAAAATAAAACTATTCTAGCCATAGCTATAAAAATAGTGTTAAACTGTACAACAACCAATGCTCTGATACAGGAACAAAGAATTGGCTTGAAAAACTCATTTGGTTTATTACAAAGTAAAGTTTCCCAAGTTATGTCTATTTGGAAAAAAAGTTCACAAAATGGTTTTATGGAGATGAGAAATTTTAGGGAAAGAGCAGTGGGATTAAATCCTGTCTCATCCTCTCCCTATTGGACCAAGTGGGTTATAAATTACATAAAATGAATCCTCTGTTTCTCTGTTATCAAAGAACAGCAGTGGTTGTTGCCTCAGAAGTAGATTAGCAGTGTTATTGGGGGTTTTGTGGGGGTGGGGTGTTGATTGGGGCTTAATACCACACGGCTCTTAACGCCCTCCTTTACCCTACACTTAAAATAATTAGAAATACAAAATAATTAGCTAAACAACAGTATTTAAAATGCTACTAAAATCAATCCATGCACATTTTTAAACATTACATATTAAAAATAATATGGCAGCAAATAAATTATGGTTTATAGTATCTCTGGTAGTTTCCGGAATAGCTCGACAGACTACGCCATGGTTTTACTGATTTTTACTGCTGTACGCTATATCATGATTTTACTGAAAGGTAGATTGTATTAAAATTAAAGTAGGCCTATTTAAGTAGACTTAGAGTTAGGCCAGGTCAAGATATGTTTCTGTTTCACAGCCAGACAATCTTGATCACTTTAATGATAGGCCTACCGTGTCTAGTAGTGTACCTAACTGAACGTAGTAGTCTAACAATTTTTTTCAGTAAATATTAGTTAAATTAGTATAATGTTAGGCCTATTACTGAAAAAAAAAATACTGAATCTTTCATAGATAGACTATAGGCCCTATGCCTTAATTATTAATAACGAGCCGGCCCGCGGCATAACATACGCCGCTATTTAGTTGTTTCTAATTTTCAATAATTCATAATTTGTGAATTCGACAGTACCAACGCTGACACTGAAAATATTTCTTTAAAACACTATAAGTAGCTCGTTAAGGACCATAACCCCCCCCCATCCCTTCTCCCCCCCCCCCCCCCCCCTACGTTTAAAATCGTTGGCTCTGCTTGTAAACATTTAGAGTGAACACAGCTCACTAAAACCATGTAGGGGTGGGGAGGTAGGGAGAGCGTTTGCAGCTTGTTTTCTAACGGCTCGAAGAAGAGAATTATATATATAGATATTTGGCCTAATTGTCTTAATATTTTAATTTTTAAAAATATATAGGGCCTAATGATTTTGTTTGACAGAAATAAGTTTTTGCACATTTAATACTACAAATAAGATTTTATTTGTCTTAATTTTTTTAATACAGAGCATTTTACCTTAAGACGAGTATTAGCTCCAGGGCCAGGCTTAGTGAAGATTTGTAAATCTTTCCCCCAATCTGGCCAAAACTTTGAAAATGGAAGTGGAAGGGATTGGTGATTTCTTCTAGAATCTGGATGGTTGTCAGCAACTTGAAGGTATCAAAGCTGGGAGTCCCTTGATTAAACCATGGCTATCAAGATTGATTTGCCTGGGTTATGTTCCATAATGATTGTCCTGTGTATGACATGTGTGTACAACTTGGATGCTGGCGTGTTGCATAGTGTAGAAAAACCTTGCAGCCATACTGTAGGCCGCCTCCATGATGTAAGTACTTGTGGTCGTGTAAGTTTAACAAAATATGTGGTTTGCTATATTCTTAAGAATTCTTATACAAAGCTAAAAGTATTGCACAGATTACTTCAGTCTCACCTTAAAATAAGATAAACCAAAGAAATTTTCATTTATTTTAAAAAAAAAATTTCTACAATTAATTACCTCTGATATAGCAAATTTTTAAACACAGTTATATCTTATGTAGTGAATAATAATTAATAGCTTAAACAGACATAAAATATTTAAATGCTGTGCCCAGCTGCCCTTACTTTCCCCAATGTAAGTCAGGTACCCTTCAGAGTTGGGTGGACTCAGCTACATCCACCGTCACTACTAACACTCCAAACCAAGATCCAAACTCTTGAAAACCATCAGGCTAGCAGCCAAACTCTCTACCATTTGGCCACATCATCCCTAAGCATCTATTTAAGGCACCCTGATCAACAAACTATTAGTTTTGTTGTGTATGTTGGCATGAGTTGTATACATGCATCAGTGGTTACTGTGTCATTAAAACTGAACCCATCAACAGGATGTATTCTACAATGTCCGCTTGGAGCCTCACCACGAGATCAAGAAAAGAAGTGCGGACCAGCCGCTCAGGATTAAACCTTACTATGACACCAGTATTGAAGCTCTGCATAATGTACACCAAGACGTTGTCAAAGTAGTTAAAATTCTTTTTTTTCAATAACAAAGCTAACACTGACTCTATATGAACTCTATATGAATGTACCTATTATTTGTAAAAATGCTGCTACAGTCTGTGATCCACAGCATCCAAATCATTGTAAAAATTAAATTCTTTATACATTTAATTTTGTACTTATACATAATTTTAAAACTATATTTACAATATATTTTTTTTATAAGTTTGTAACTCTAAGTTTGAGAAGTGATTAAATATTAACAATAGCATAGAGAAAAGGTAAAAGTTAAATTGGAAGCTTGCACAAAATTAAACTCTGAACAGGAAATCGTTCAAAAAGCTGTTGAGTTTTGGGAGTCTGCCTTGAGGGTTCGACCATCCAGGGTACCCATCCGTCTGAGACGTAAATGTATGACCAACCAGCTCAAATATAAGGACAGGACAGCGTACTGCATGTACGGTTGCCTCAACAAAACTGTGTGTGGGGACATCACTATACCTGAGGAACACCTTGAGGTAAATATTGTATGTGTATGGGACATCAACATATTACAGAAACACAGTGAGGTAATAACCCTAGTAGGGGTGACTGTAATTCAGTTACATACATATATATGTATTGTGTTAACATATATTTTATTAAATTTCGAAAAAATTATGTATCTACTCTGTCATACCTGAGTTTATACTCAAAGTAAAAAAAAGTAAATCAAGTAATGCGGTGGCTGTACATTGTTCTAACCACTTGGCTTTGAGTAAGGTAAACTCTACTTCAACTTATGTTTTACTATCAGGTCATATAGGTTCTCACATAGGCCAGTGAAATTTAGAATATAGAGTTAAACAAAGATTTCTTAAACAACACAGGCCACTGAAATTTAGAATTGGGAGTTAAACAAAGATTTCTTAAACAACACAGGCCACTGAAATTTAGAATATAGAGTTAAACAAAGATTTCTTAAACAACACAGGCCACTGAAATTTAGAATTGGGAATTCTAAAAATAAAGTAGAGTTGGTAAAATGCCAGCTTATTGCTATATCTCATAAGTAGAATTGGAGTTTCTTATTCTTTATCATGAAAGTCTTTTGTTCAGCTAACAGCTATAACCAAACCCTCTTCTTTAAATTTTAAACTACTACATTTTCAAGTGTTTTGTTTTGTAAATTATTAAATGCCTATTTTTTTATAGGGCTGCATCTATTATGAACCAGCAAACAACAGTTATGTGCAAGCCCCCACACCACCATCATTTGGTGTGAGTGACACAGACTACATTCTTTATATAGCCAGTATCCCATCCCGCAAGTGTATAGAGGGTCAGACCATTGCATACGCTGCACATTGTCAACAAGAGGAAGCTTTTGATAGGTAAAAAACAACTTGTAAAAAATCTGTGCAGGGAAAATATGAAGTGGATATTGGTAAACGAAAGAAACCAGATTTTAGGCAGAGTGGTGAAACAAAGAATTTGGTACTGTGCTCAATGAGAAAAATGTTTATATTTTTGTGTACCATAAAATTTTGGTTTATAATTAATAAATTTCTTACCTACCATGGATGTAGGAGTAGCTTTGTAATTTTTTATAAACTGTAAATATTATCTGTGAACCATAAAAGATTGGTGTGTAACTGTAGTACATTTCTTTCTCAGACCAGTGGCTGGATATTTCAGTATTTGCCCAAACTCAATTTCCAAGTCTCGTCAGAGCAAGCTGCAGCTTTTGTCCACCATGAAACATGAAATTTTACATGCTTTGGTAACAGTTCAATTTATTTTATTGTTTTAATTTTAACATTCATATTTGAACTTCAAAGTAACTGCAGGAAGAGTAGTTTTGGCAAAAGGTAAACCAATGAGTTATCAAGCAACTAAAATGTAATTCAAAATGTGGTTTGATTGTAATATTTAATTTTAATCAAAAAATTTTGTTCTATTTAAAAAAAAATTAAAACGAAAGCAGAATCTAAACTTGTCATTTCCTGCACCTTCCTAGGGTTTTACTGCTGGGCTGTATGCTTTCTACCGTGACGCTGATGGGGAACCTTTGACGAAGCGCAACATACAGACTGGTCGGCCGTTAGAATTTAATGAAGAGTTTGTACCAGTTGTATATTTCTTTCAGATTGTTACAATATGTCCACTACCCATAAGGTTGAAAATAAATGTCCCATTTGGATCATATTGTAGCATATTTATTTTTCTGAATATGTAAAATACAAAAATAATTTTTTTTAAACTCAGATTATATTCAAAACATCCTCATGTATTCTATATTTTTTTAGATTTATAAGTTTTAAAAAATCCAGGAAACCAACACAATAGAAATTTTACCTTGTTATTTTGACCTTGGTAGGCCGACATATTCCCTCATTCTGTTAACCTGCAAGGTGTATCAACAGGTTGAACATGTTCCAGTCATGTTAACCTGCAAGGTGTATCAACAGGTTGAACATGTTTCAGTCATGTTAACCTGCAAGGTGTATCAACAGGTTGAACATGTTCCAGTCATGTTAACCTGCAAGGTGTATCAACAGGTTGAACATGTTTCAGTCATGTTAACCTGCAAGGTGTATCAACAGGTTGAACATGTTCCAGTCATGTTAACCTGCAAAGTGTATCAACAGGTTGAACATGTTCCAGTCATGTTAACCTGCAAGGTGTATCAACAGGTTGAACATGTTCCAGTCATGTTAACCTGCAAGGTGTATCAACAGGTTGAACATGTTCCAGTCATGTTAACCTGCAAGGTGTATCAACAGGTTGAACATGTTCAAGTCATGTTAACCTGCAAGGTGTATCAACAGGTTGAACATGTTCCAGTCATGTTAACCTGCAAGGTGTATCAACAGGTTGAACATATTCCCTCACTCTGTTAACCTGCAAGGTGTATCAACAGGTTGAACATGTTCCCTCACTGTGTTAACCTGCAAGGTGTATCAACAGGTTGAACATGTTCCCTCACTCTGTTAACCTGCAAGGTGTATCAACAGGTTGAACATGTTCCAGTCATGTTAACCTGCAAGGTGTATCAACAGGTTGAACATATTCCCTCATTCTGTTAACCTACAAGGTGTATCAACAGGTTGAACATGTTCCCTCACTCTGTTAACCTGCAAGGTGTATCAACAGGTTGAACATGTTCCAGTCATGTTAACCTGCAAGGTGTATCAACAGGTTGAACATATTCCCTCATTCTGTTAACCTACAAGGTGTATCAACAGGTTGAACATGTTCCAGTCATGTTAACCTACAAGGTGTATCAACAGGTTGAACATGTTCCCTCAGTCTGTTAACCTGCAAGGTGTATCAACAGGTTGAACATGTTCCAGTCATGTTAACCTGCAAGGTGTATCAACAGGTTGAACATGTTCCCTCACTCTGTTAACCTGCAAGGTGTATCAACAGGTTGAACATGTTCCCTCACTGTGTTAACCTACAAGGTGTATCAACAGGTTGAACATGTTCCCTCACTGTGTTAACCTGCAAGGTGTATCAACAGGTTGAACATGTTCCAGTCATGTTAACCTGCAAGGTGTATCAACAGGTTGAACATATTCCCTCATTCTGTTAACCTACAAGGTGTATCAACAGGTTGAACATGTTCCAGTCATGTTAACCTACAAGGTGTATCAACAGGTTGAACATGTTCCCTCACTCTGTTAACCTGCAAGGTGTATCAACAGGTTGAACATGTTCCAGTCATGTTAACCTGCAAGGTGTATCAACAGGTTGAACATATTCCCTCATTCTGTTAACCTACAAGGTGTATCAACAGGTTGAACATGTTTCAGTCATGTTAACCTGCAAGGTGTATCAACAGGTTGAACATGTTCCAGTCATGTTAACCTGCAAAGTGTATCAACAGGTTGAACATGTTCCAGTCATGTTAACCTGCAAGGTGTATCAACAGGTTGAACATGTTCCAGTCATGTTAACCTGCAAGGTGTATCAACAGGTTGAACATGTTCCAGTCATGTTAACCTGCAAGGTGTATCAACAGGTTGAACATGTTCAAGTCATGTTAACCTGCAAGGTGTATCAACAGGTTGAACATGTTCCAGTCATGTTAACCTGCAAGGTGTATCAACAGGTTGAACATATTCCCTCACTCTGTTAACCTGCAAGGTGTATCAACAGGTTGAACATGTTCCCTCACTGTGTTAACCTGCAAGGTGTATCAACAGGTTGAACATGTTCCCTCACTCTGTTAACCTGCAAGGTGTATCAACAGGTTGAACATGTTCCAGTCATGTTAACCTGCAAGGTGTATCAACAGGTTGAACATATTCCCTCATTCTGTTAACCTACAAGGTGTATCAACAGGTTGAACATGTTCCCTCACTCTGTTAACCTGCAAGGTGTATCAACAGGTTGAACATGTTCCAGTCATGTTAACCTGCAAGGTGTATCAACAGGTTGAACATGTTCCCTCACTGTGTTAACCTGCAAGGTGTATCAACAGGTTGAACATGTTCCAGTCATGTTAACCTGCAAGGTGTATCAACAGGTTGAACATATTCCCTCATTCTGTTAACCTACAAGGTGTATCAACAGGTTGAACATGTTCCCTCACTGTGTTAACCTGCAAGGTGTATCAACAGGTTGAACATGTTCCAGTCATGTTAACCTGCAAGGTGTATCAACAGGTTGAACATATTCCCTCATTCTGTTAACCTACAAGGTGTATCAACAGGTTGAACATATTCCCTCATTCTGTTAACCTACAAGGTGTATCAACAGGTTGAACATGTTCCCTCACTGTGTTAACCTGCAAGGTGTATCAACAGGTTGAACATGTTCCAGTCATGTTAACCTGCAAGGTGTATCAACAGGTTGAACATATTCCCTCATTCTGTTAACCTACAAGGTGTATCAACAGGTTGAACATGTTCCAGTCATGTTAACCTACAAGGTGTATCAACAGGTTGAACATGTTCCCTCACTCTGTTAACCTGCAAGGTGTATCAACAGGTTGAACATGTTCCAGTCAAGCCCCGCTGTCGTCAAGGAGATTGTCAGGCCTGAGTGGCTTCTCATTTCTGGGGTCACGGAGAAGCGGATCCAGATGATGGTCACACCTAAGGTCAAGGTAATACATTTGTTTACATCTTTTAATACATCACTTTTTATTTATATATATTTTTTTTTTCCTTGCTGTAACAGAAAAATATGAGTACAAGACTAAGGACCTTAGAAAGTGAAGATTATGTTTGTTTGCCTAGAGATAAAATTTAAATTAGTTTTGTTAAGTTAACGCAGTGTGTTTCGATGTTGTTTGACAGAAAGAGGTTCAGGACCATTTCAACTGCCCAACACTGGAGGGGGCAGAGCTGGAGGATCAGGGCATTGATGGCACGGTGCTCACCCACTGGGAGAAGAGGATATTTGAGGTCAGTTACCCCAGCACACCTGTCACTGCCAGGGCATAGTCAGTTAAACTGGTAACAATACTCACCTCCTGTGATGTTTTATACCAATGGTCCCTCCCTGCTAATTTTATAACAATACACACTCCCTGCAAAGTTTGTAACAATGGTCACTCCCTGAAAAATTTATAACAATGGTTACTCCCTTCCAAATTTATAACCATGGTCACTCCCAAGTTTTTAACAATGGTCACCCCCTCAAAGTGTGTTACAATGGTTACTCCCTGCTAAGTTTTAAAAGGATGGTTACTCAATTCTGTGATCACAAACCAGTTAAAGTCTATTATCTACTGTTTGTTAAGCTAAGATAAAGCTATGAGACAAACTGTAGCGCATGAAACTGCACCTTTAACCCTCCTGGAACTGATAAAGTCTTTACATTTGATACTAATCAATACATTAAGGAAGAACCATACAGAACATAGAGTAAAAAATGGTTCTGCATTTGATATTTTCTTTATGCATATCATTCATCATTTTTTATCAAATAGTGTGTTTGATTTGTTGGTGTGATAAGTTATTCACATTATTTTTTTTAAATGTAGCCGCTAATGTTTAACTATTTACTAGTTCATTCAAAGAATTAAATGACATATTTGTGCTGTTGAACATTATTTCAGAATGAAGCAATGACTGGCACCTACACACAGAATTCTGTGATATCTAGGATTACATTGGCCATGATGGAGGATACAGGGTACGTTTAAACTTTTAGTAAAATCGAATTGTTGTCTAACTCTAGGAAGGGACAGGGTCACACATTTTTATAAAATACTTTTAGTTACATGGAATTGTTGTGTAATTCTAGGAAGGGACAGGGTCACACATTTTTATAAAATACTTTTAGTTACATGGAATTGTTGTGTAATTCTAGGAAGGGACAGGGTCACACATTTTTACTATCATAATTTGGTGGAATCAGAACAAAATGCAGTTGAGAAAAAACTGAGACAGAAAAACCAGTTCTCTGGCAGTGATATATATATAGTTTCCATATTATGCTCACTTTTCTTTTAATAAATTGTAAGTTTCTTAATATTTAAAGGTAATTATTACTGAAAAAATAAATCAACATGTTTGTTCTTGTAGCTGGTATATAGCGGATTACTCTAAAGCTGGAGACTATGAATGGGGCCGAGGTTTGGGATGTGAATTTGTTCAAGAAAGTTGTTATCAGTGGATCAGCTCAAGGATGGCAAGGTCAGGAGTATATGATATAACATGGTGTCTGTCAGGAGTATATGATATAAAATGGTATTTGTGAGGACTATTTCTAGATGATATAAAATGGTGTCTGGTTGAAAATTTGTCAATACGATTTATAATAATATTGAGATTGGACTTTGTTTAATAAAAAGATTTGGCAGATCAAGGCTATTATTTATCACCATTTTAAATCTATTTTCCAATGGTAATGTGTTGTGTTGGGGACATCAAATTGCATTTTGATGAACATATTCAGAAAATACTTTGTGTTGTATTTGACATAGTGAATTAGCAAAATCTTAGATTTTTTATCTAGAAGCGTTCCTATAAACCCATAATGAAATCAGAAACAAAATATCTGAGACCATTGTTATATTCTTCAGTTAAATAAACCGGGAGTGATCTCCCCTAAACTTTCTCGAATATTTTTATATAAAATAACAGGGGATGGGAACTCGGGCTATAGACATGATTTTTAATCCATTTTAAATACTTAAAGTTTTAAAAATAGAATAAAATCTCGTAGACAAATTAATTGCACACCAAGTGAACGCGAAATAAAAAAGCGCATAATAGTGCGCAATATTATTAGTACTTTTAAAATTTACATTAGTTTTTTGAGAAATCGGAAGTAGCGTAAATTACTACTTCCGGTCAACGGAAATTACTCAAAATTTAACAGAAGGTTGAGAATTAGATCTTTTACTTACATGTGAAATTTCATTTATCTATCTAAAATAGTACTCAAGTTATAGGCTTTTGAAAAATTCAAAGTAGAAAAAGTACCACTTCCGGTTATCGGAAATCGCTCAAAAGTTGATACGGATCTACGATTTTGATAAAATACTTATATATGAAATTTCATCAACCTAGCAGTAACGGTACTCAAGTTATCGTGTTTACACACAGACACACACACACACAGACATACGGACAAGATTGCAAAATTATGTTTTTCCGTATCAGTGAGGTGTAAAACGTCGAGATTTGTAAAAATCTCGATTTTTTTTTTTTTTTGCACGATTACAATACTTTCTCTATACTACGTATATACGAGAAAGTAAAAAGAAGCCTTCATGGTTTTTGTTTTAACCACATAAAAACCAACAGAATGGCCCTGGAAAATGTGAATGTGTGTGAATCATTTTGTTTTCCCCAGGAAAGAGAGTATTCACCCTTTCTGTGACAAAGTGAAACGTGGGGAACTCTGGACTGACTGCACCTACAACAGGAAGTCTGTGGCCCTGTGTAACCTGGTGGAGTACAGTCAGCCACTGCCAGCAAAGTATCAGGTATACATGGCTTTGTAGCTACAGGTGTTGGGGGGGTACAGGTGTTGGGGGGTGCAGGTGTTGTTGTTACAGCTGTGGGGGGTACAGGTGTTGATAGGTACAGGTGTTAGAGGGCACAGGTGTTGGGGGGTACAGGTGTTAGGGGGTGCAGGTGGGGGCTACAGGTGTTGGTAGGTGGGTGCAGGTGTTGGGGTTATAGGTGCTGGTAACTACAGGTGTTGAGGGTACAGGTGTTGAGGGTACAGGTGTTGGTAGCTACAGGTGTTGGTGGTATAGGTGGTATTGGTAAGTGCTGTTGTTTTTGGTAGGTGCAGATGTTGGTATATTCATGTGTTTGTGGAGGATGCAGGTGTTGGTAGCAGCATATGTCTGTAGGTTAGATACAGATATTTATCCATGAACTGTATAATGTAAAACCAATTGTTTTTATATTTCCAGTATTTTGATGAGCTGACGGGTGTGGATAAAAAAGATATCAGCAGGTTTGCTGGTTCAGTGGCTCTGGCTGATTACTGCCCTTACTTGCAGGTAGGTGAATGATTACTGCCCTTACTTGCAGGTAGTTGACTGATTACTGCCCTTACTTGCAAGTAGGTGAATGATTACTGCCCTTACTTGCAAGTAGGTGAATGATTACCACCCTTGCTTGCAGGTAGGTGAATGATTATTGCCCTTACTTGAAAGTAGGTGAATGATTACCACCCTTACTTACAAGTAGTTGTCATAGATAAGTTATGGTCTAAATACTGGACATTAAAAGTTGACATCAGAAGTTAACATTAGAATTAGTTAACATATTTGAGTTTCTATTTATGGGTTTCATCTATTAAAAACAATCAGCAAGTCTAATTTAAGAAAATTTAATGGTTGACTAAGTGACAAGCATGTTACTTTAAAACACCTGAATACCATGAGACTGTTAACTTATGACTTTTTTATGTCAGGAACTTTACAATACCTGAATACCATTAGACGGGTAACTTATATGACTTTTTTATGTCAGGAATTCAGCTGGACAGATGAGCGTAACATACCTGTCAGGGGCTCTAACTGCCAGGATTCAGAGAACAGTTTAGGTAATGTCATACATGTCCACTTGTCATATTCTCACAATCGTAAATATTTAAATCATGTATTTAGACCACAACTTCTCAATATTACAATATTGTTAATAGTGTGCTCAAGTTTTCAAGTTAAATTTTTAAAAATTTTGTTCCCTCTAACAAGTAAAATAATACGCAAGTCACCATGTTCTTGTCATTGTAAATATTTTAAACATTTATATTTTGGTTCGCAACATCTGCTTTGTAGGTAATTTTTAAATGCAGTGTTCAAGTATATAAAGTTGAAAAAAAGTAATTTTGTTTCTTTAAACTCTAAACAATGTGGGACTTTTTATTTGACTTCAGAAATTGCAAGCAATTATTTTGGTGAGACGTATGGGTCGGAGAGTTTGTGTTTTGAACATTCAGCCAAGTGGTACCTGTGCTATTTTGCGTCTTTGAGAATTCCTCAACATGCAGGCAGTGGTTGCTATAAGGTAGTGTCTGAATCACTGTTTGTATTTGTATTAAGTACATGAATTTTTCACTAAAGCATCATTAGACAACCAACAGGAAGGCTCGATTCCTATAGATGCCTATATTTACAAAGATGCTGTGAACTTAACCATCTTTTCTTTCCATTAAGTAAGGTACTAACTAGGGTGAATCCTAGAGGGCTGTCAATAGCTGCTTATCAATTTTCTAAATAATAATATCATTATTGGAAGTCGGTACAAAATATCTGTGACTAATAAAACTGACATTCAAACAGTTTTGACTCAGTTTGAGTTATCCCCTCTACAGTGCCAATGTCCAGAGAAAAATTATCTCCCCTATTGTTAAAGAACCCAACTTACCATTTTTAACTCCTTTTCAGTACTCCTGCCTAGCTGGCGTAGGTATTGTCATCAGCCTAGAGAACAAAACCTACCGCTGCTACAGAGAGAAGCAAGTAATTCCTGTCTCCTTCAGATCAGCTGACTTCATACACCAGGGGAGTCTTGTCTGTCCAAACTGTAATCAGATCTGCAAGGTACATATTGTGTTCTACAGTCTTTTACTATAGTCATTCAGTGTATATATATATATATATATATATATATATATATATATATATATATATATATATATATATATATATATATATAATATTTGTTATTTACATGTGTTTTTAAATTATATTTGGATATACTTTTACTTATTTATAAAAACATTAAATGCTGGAGGATAAATATCATAAATTTGTTCCCTTGAAATCTTCTCTGTTTTGAGTTCTCTCTTAGCCCACATAAAAATACATGGCTTGATACAAAGTTGTGAAACATAGACAAATAAACTACATTTTACTTCTCTGTATAGCTTGTGATTGTTCAAAATCTATTCATTTTTCAATGTTTTAATCTACATTTTGATTTGCTGTTCCTAACTCCGAGTTTTTATTCCACCAGGAGCAAGGGATCACGTGCCCCCCTGATGTTGACCCCCCACTGGCTGACCAGCAGCCACATTTTGGCAGTGTTATATGTTCAGCCAGCAGCGTCCATGTCCAGAGTGTCCCCCTCATAGTTCTGATGGTCTTCTCTATATCCAGGTAGTTTTAGACAAACCTTGCTGCAACGGTCTGATCTAGATTGGTATGACTTATTTTAATGTTATACACCCCTTGACTTCTCCAAAAAATATTATGAAAATAAACCACATAGCCCTAATACAGCAAAAAAATTGTATAGAATAATTTAAAATATTTATATTGTATCTATCTTTTGTATAGAATTTTGACAAAATGAATTTTTTTACGTTGGTGTATTTTTATCTACAAGAAAAAAATTTCAAGCCTTTTTTTGCAAGTTGTCATAAGCTTCTCAGTGTCTTTCATTGAATGGTTTTAGACTAATTTTATAAAAATGCTTAAATTAAAAACAAAATATCAACTATTTTTTTTACCCAATCAATCAAACTTTATTATAATAAATAATTTATGTTTAATCAGTTTATCCAATTTTGCTGAAATAAGTAATGTGTCACTTATTATTAGTCCTAACATTAATGTAAAAGATAATTTATGTACAATGAATTAGTGTAATTATTAATTTATTTGCAATGAATTACTGTAGTTAATGATTAATACATTTAATTACTCCTAAGAAAGTGTGTGGAGAAATGTAGTGTTTTGTCATGGGCACATCTCTGTATATTGAACAACAGGGATTCTGAATATTAAAAATTCTTAGACTTAAGAATTAATTTTGTTTAAACAAAACAAATAATTATATTTTTGCTGCACCTATCAATAATGTAGCCATTGAGGTTCACAGAAGTAACATAAATAAAGTTCCTTTTTTAATATGCAAAGAAATTTTTTTTGTGCATCAATAATTTTAAAAGCAATTTAATTACTTATACACATGTTTGTTCAGATGGATTATCTTAGTTGTTATTTTATGGGCGACTAAATTGTAAAAATTGTGTTTTTTTATATGTTTTTCTATGTAAATCCTTATCTTGAATTTAGATTTTTAAATGGTTATAACAAATGTTATTATACTGAGTTAATAGTATTGATGCAGTAGAGGGGTTGCTTTCAAAATACAATGGTACCTGGACCATCAAGTATTTGAGTGTCAAGCGAGCTATATTTTGCTTTGACGTACAAGTAAAAGTTTGAGAAACCAAACACCTTGGATAGGTTTTAATTAAATTCATATCTTGAAGTACTGCTTTTTTTTTTTAAACGATTATAGAGTATTTTAACAATCATTTAGGAATGAGGAATGTAAAAACATGACCTTTTTTCTGGCATACCTGGCTACATCCGTGGTTGTTGTTAGGCAGACCTCAACAGGATGTAGAATCAAGCATCTCTCACATCCATTTAGCTGCAACACTTTTGTTTTTAATGTTACTTACTGCCCCTGCTGAATACAACAACTGTCAGGGGAGGCGACTTTTGTTTTGGTTAATTGGCTTCTATGTTAGCAAACTTAGAATGTACCACTTGATTTACCTATGAAGTATTGAGTTCAAATAATGACATTTTTGTATCTTATATAATCATATTGAAGCAGTGTGGTCTAGAAAGATGTTTACAAATGTTACACCTCTAAAATCAAATGTTTTTGCCTAGCTAAAATCCACAGGTAATGATTTTATTTCTATTGAAGCTGTATTTTTAATGTTGCTGTTGCTCTAACTTTTAATAAAGTTGAAAATGTTTTGTGATTATTATTTTTTTTATTCAGTACTTAACAGGCATGTTTTTTTACTAGTACTATTCAGTGAATCTTTCTCGCTGATATTAATGCTTAATAAGCCAGTGTGCACATATTTGTATTTTTTCTTCTTGCACAACTCAAGTAAAATGCAATAATTATTTATGCATGTTGTGTATATAAAAAAAGTTTTTAAAATGTATTTCTAATTTTTTTTTATTGCATGTGTGTTTCAATTGTGTGGTCAGCACTTTTTTACATAAACAAATGTTTTGTGGCCAGATTTTGTTACATTTTGATCAAAACTTTATTAAACAAAAACATTGTTTTATTTCATAGTCTTTTTAACAAGGAAAATATATCAGTAATTTATAAATGTAAAATTAAATTGGAACTCCTGTTTTTCTGTCTCTTTTTTATTTAACATAAGAATTTGTAAATTATTTTGATATCTGATTATATATCATATATATATGTTAAAATAGTCTACATGTTTGAATATTTTGTTGCACTCTTTTTTTTATTGTGTACTTATAATGACATGTTTTTTCTAAACCTTATTTATTTAACACAAAAATATTTCAATTTAGAAATCTTAGATATTATTTAGATCTTATTTTAATTTTGAAATTTTTATTTAATGAGATTGTATTGCTAAAGAATGAGCTTTAAAAAATGCCGTTTTCTTCTGAATTTGACTGTTGAATAGTTAGTGCTGAGTTGTTCAATAATTTTGTGCAATATTTACCTATCTGACTTTTGTTTATTCTAGCTGGTAACTGTGTTTAGTTAGCCAGGTACTTGCATCATGGTGCTACCAATTGTAACAATATTTTGTTGTGTTTTTTGTGCTTTCATAAGCCTTGTTTGTTTTTAAAAAATGGTTAATCAAACTAGAATGTCCGAGGTTTTATATTCCCATGGCAGAACTAACTCACTAAGTGTTTAAAATAAAATTTTGGCGGCTGTGTTTAAAATTTGATGAAGACATTTTTAATTGTGAGATATTTTAGAAGCGATTGTTAAAATTGTTAAATGAGTGTTTAAACCTTGTGAGGATTTTTTTTTTATTCAGGAGAGTTGGTTAGGTACAGGTCATGTTGACATTGTGTAACAGTGCTGTTCCTATAGGGCTGCTAAGTGGGTCAATAAACAGTAATACGGCTCAATAAAACCTGCATGAGCCATATAACTGTTTATTGACCTACTTACCAGCCCTATAATAAGATTACAGACAGTGTAGTACTGACTACTTTGTTAAGATGATTGGCTGATTTTTTAAGATGCTCAGATGATGTCTTTGTGCCTGTTACAATGGTCAGATGTCTATAGTTATTTCCTCGTGTTTTTTTCCTCACACCTCACTTCAAATCGTCAGACATAAATTATCTAGTCCAACAACTTTGATATTTCTAACAAAATCTCTCTCACAACAAAGTCAGTCTAGACTGCTTATGTTTTTGTAAGGCTTTTTCTTCCTTGCTTATTGTTCAGCATTTGCAGTGAGTATTGTTGGCTATTATTATTATGGTATTATTATACTCTTGTTAAAAATAACGTAGGTGTTGTCTTCTGATTTATTTTTACCACCATTAAATGGGCATAATAATATTTTTTTGCAGTTTTTTTTCCCCTTGAATGTATCAAACTGACTTAGACTTTTCATTATGTATTTTAAGACAACCAACATAACATGATGATGGGAAATAATCCTTTCTTTTCTAAGTCAAATTTATTTTATTGTAGCTTCCCTTTTCCCTTAAACCATACTTGTTTTTACTTTGCTAAGTTTTTTTTTTCTTTTAAGTTGAATTTAATTTTCTTTGACTGTAGTGTTTTAGAACTAACAAGTTGCCTTAAAATAGTTTTGTGTTTAAGAATGTTAATTACGAAAACTTAAATTACCTAAAGATATATATGTACTTAAATTTTTAAATACTTTTTTATACTAATTCCTATGGTTTTTTGGCTATAAATAAAGCATAAATTTGTTCTCGTTTGGTATAAGTTGTCAGAATTATTTTCGTTTGTATTTATACTTCGTATTTTCCTCGCGTGGAAACAGATCAGTAACGTTGTTCACCAACAGAGAGTTACCTGTCCTATTTAAAGCGAGTTAGATCCCCTTGTCTGTTATGAAATGTGTGTATGGAAATCCTGGGCACTTTTTGTAACACGGAGACGCCTAAAGCTGGCCAGATTTTTGCTGTGGTCACCGGGTAGCTTGTTTGGGGATTTAATTAATGGTAAAAGTTTAGGGTTCGAGTAAATGGTAAAAGTCTAGGGTTCGACTAAATAGTAAAGGTATGGGGTTCGAGTTAATGGTTAAAGTATAGGGTTCTAAAAAATAGCAAAAATTTGAGGTTCGAAATTAATAATGAAAGCTACTTACATGGCACCAAGGGGAGTAGGGTTCACATGGCACCATGGGCCAGTAGGGTTCACTTGGCACATTGGGCTAGTAGGGTTCACATGGCACCAATGGCCAAAAGGGTTCACATGGCACCATGGTCCAATAGGGTTCACATGACACCATGGGCCAATAGGGTTCACATGGCACCATTGGGAGCAGGGTTCACATGGTAACATAAGGGGTAGGGTTCAGGTGGCACCATGGGGAGTCGGGTTCATAAGGTAACATATGTGGTAGGGTTCATGTGGCACAAAGGAGAGTAGGGTTCACATGGCACTATGGGGATTAGGGTTCACAAGGCGCCATGGGGAGCAGGGTTCACGTGGCACAGGAGTAAGGTTCAAATAACATCGAGGTTGATTTAAGTGTAAGCATGTTAAAAAATCAGAAACCTAAATCTTTGTAATGTTAAGTTAGTTTGGTTGCTGTCGTCTCTGGAGTCAGACGCAGAGAGAAAGCTTTCCTGGCCGTAGTTTTTAGCTCCTGGCCAGTGGGCAACACTGCCATCAGTGACTGGTTGCATAGGGTGTATTCCAACCACTAAGCAACCTTAAATTCAATGACGTGCACAATCAACTATGTGGTCCAATCTAGTGGTGGTGTTGTCCGGTGTTGTCTGATGTTGTCTGGTGTTGTCTGATGTTGTCAAACTGCTCTGTTCATCACTCACAGACACACAACAGAGAGTTACTTGATGGCCAAAAACACAGACACACAACAGAGAGTTACTTGATGGCCAAAAACACAGACACACAACAGAGAGTTACTTGATGGCCAAAAATACAGACACACAACAGAGAGTTACTTGATGGCCAAAAACACAGACACACAACAGAGAGTTACTTGATGGCCAAAAATACAGACAAACAACAGACAGTTACTTGATGGCCAAAAACACAGACACACAACAGAGAGTTACTTGATGGCCAAAAACACAGACACACAACAGAGAGTTACTTGATGGCCAAAAACACAGACACACAACAGAGAGTTACTTGATGGCCAAAAACACAGACACACAACAGAGAGTTACTTGATGGCCAAAAACACAGACACACAACAGAGAGTT